GGTTTGAGTAAGTAAATTATTTACAGTATATAATTTTATATTTTTTAAATATTTTCTTAAAATAAAATAGCCAATTGCATTCTGTTTAAATATTTCACCTTGAAGGGAGCTGTTGTTGGTACAATGTCTGTAAAATTCTGTCAATTCAGTCAACCATGCCCTTAGTCTTCAAAAGACAGAGGAAATAAGTTATAGTTTAGCATTGCTCATTAAAATCCACTGCAGTTATTCCTTTTAAAATCATTATTGTTCTAAATAATGTCCTACTTTCAAACTAGAAACTTATGCTAATATAAGTCCTATGGGTCACAGACAGCAGTCATCTTGATTTCATGGGAAGCATTGCTACACTATTCCTATTACTCCAGATTTGCTGCTTCAAGGTGTATCTTCTGCTCTCATTATAGAAAACAGGTTGGGCACTATTTTGCCTCAAGGTAATTTTCATTATTTCAGTGAATTGATGACCTGATGGTTCAGTTAAAAGTTAGTTTGCCTTTCTGGGTAATTATTTAAGCTGTTAAAAAGTAGAATTCCTCTCCAGGTTTCAAAGTGAATCTTTTTGGCATTAGCTATTCTACTTGTCCCTAGCTAGGCAATTACCGTGTGATTACTTTTAAACCAAGTATACTGATTTAATGATACACAGTTTGGAAGGAGGTTTTTCCCATCTTGCCTGCACTGTGGAGCTTTGTCACACAATCAGCCCCAGCTCCTCTTCTAGCAGTGGTAGTAATGGCAGGTGCATCTCTGAAGGCTGGCGAATGAACAAGGAGGCACTGTGCGGAGTTCTTGAATGCTTTTTCTCTCCTTCGGGTTGCTCATCCCTGCAGGACATACAGAATGCATTGTAGGTCAGGTCTTATAGAAGAGAGAGGAGTTTTTTTTTACGAATTAGTTTGTGTGTATAAAGTCATAAATGTATGTGCCATGGCTACTTTCCTTTAAGCTGCAGACAAGTGCTTTTAGATACATAGAGAATAATTACTTCTGGAAGGAGCTGTTTAGGCTAAAATAACAATAATAATACTATAATAATAATAGTAGTAGTAGTAGTAGTAGTAATAATAATAATAATAATAATAATAATAATAATAATGGTGATGTTGCTGATGATGCTGATGATACAGTTTGGAGTAGTGCAACGAGGAAAGCAGCCATAGCACATACATACTGGCTCTTCTGTACGCAGAGACAATTCAGGAATCTTAGCAGAAGCTGACTTGGCTGAGGATAGAACTGAAGTGGGAATTTATTTGAAAATTGTAATTTATTGTAGCTATTAAAAATGCATTCAGTACATGTTGTACAGAAACATGTTTGCCTGTGACTGCAGTCACAACATTCGTGCTTCCAGTTGGGGCTGTGCATTTCATCAGTGGCAATTTCCTTCTCCCACTAAGCACTGTCATCAGCGTTCATCGTCTCTGAGCTGCATCCTCTCTAAGCATGGTTAGAGTACCGTAGCAAAACCAGCAAATTCTCCTCTTACTTCCACTTTACAACTGTAATTCCACCAAACCAAATTGTTCTCCCAGTCTCTTGGCATGTTATCTGTCAGTATGTTCCCGTAAGTACAGCACAGAGGGTATGGTATATAAGTCCAGATGCATGGCTGCTGCTTGCATGACTGGGTCCGCCTTCTTCATTGTGAGAATCTTTGTATGGATCTCAGACAAGAAAATAGATTAGTGGCTAAATGAATTCAGATTTCATCTTTGTTGGGTGCCTGTTAGACATCTATGGGTCTTTGCTGGATACTTGGGAATTTGCAGCTCCTTGTAAAAGTTGACCAGCTCACAGTTCCTTTATTTAACTTGGTGGAAAGACGTTCTGCAGAGAAGAAGAAAAGTTCTGTTGTAATAAACAGCAGGTGAGAGAAGGAAGGAAGGAAGGAAGGAAGGAAGGAAGGAAGGAAGGAAGGAAGGAAGGAAGGAAGGAAGGAAGGAAGGAAGGAAGGAAGGAAGGAAGGAAGGAAGGTTAATTGAAGGAAGATTGAGTAGAACAGAGGAACAAGCAGAGAAGGAGTTGTGTATGTCTCAGGGACGAAGGCATCAAGTTTAACTGTGAAACTAACGAGGAAAGTAACTAAAATACCCTTTAAAAGGTTAATAAGGTTATTGTGTTTAAGTAAAATAACCTTAGCACCCTCACAGAAGCAGACAGATTTAGCTTTCATCATGGAATCAGGGGGTGTGATTGACTCCTTGGATCACCTGCAAGTATTATAATGTCTTTGTCCATAGCTGAGCCACTAACTCCCCTTTTTTAATCACAGGAGAGAAATGGAAAAGTTCTGAGCACATTCACCTCCTCTTAAAGTGTACCTCTAAAACAAATTAGACAAACCATGTACTAAAAGTGCCAATTTCCCTTCATTAATTACAGAAAGGAGGCCACAGTGTGCAGGTCATCTGTAGAATTTACCTTCTAAATATCTAAGATCAGGGAAAATGAATCCTGCCTGGAAGAAACTGAATGAGTTCATGACTAAATGTGATGATTGACTCTCTGTGTCATTTAATCTCTGCCTCAGTTCCTGTCTGCAAAACAGTTGAAATGTGTTATAATTTTCTCCTACTCTCAGTTTATCGGGTTTATTTCAGTTGAATTCCTTGGAAGCAGGGACTCTGCCTTACTTTCCCAGTATCTTACTGTTCAGTGTCTAGCCCCACTCTCATTTCTTGTGCTGGGTATCACTATGCAGAGGAGCAGTGACCTGTGTGTGTACTTGGATTGTGTGTATCTTACATCGTTGTACACAATGAGAAGTCTTCAGATTGCTTTGTTTTATATCATTTTCAACCAGCTTATCCATAGACATGCAGTTTTAGATATAATAACTGAATAAGCGAAACATAGAGGCTTGGCACATTTCCTACAGAGTCTTTGATTTCCTTTTTGCTCATCCTTCTGCCTTGACAGACAATGTTTGAAACATTATCATAACTTTTTTTCCATTGTTGTTTGGTTGGTTCCTGTCAGGAGAAGCACAGTCTCTGACTCCTTACACCTGCTTCTATGAAATGATCTCAGTTGCTGTGGTATACATCTTTCTTCAGTGCAACAAACCAGACTAGGGATCTGATGTAGTCTAACAATAAGACAGCTGAACCAATTCTTACTAACTCACACCAGTTCCCTGGTGCCATTCCCTTAGTGGAGAAAAGTGCTGGGGATTAGTGGCAGGAAAATAACCCTTAGCATGTGAACAATCCAGAAGGCTCTCTATGTCATAATGTACTGCAATGCTTCCTCCTTGTAAGAGCAGTGAGCCCTTTCATAAAACCTCTGTCCTATAATGCCAATTACACAAGGCTTCTGAAATGACTGTCCAACTTCTTAGAGTTACACACTTTTAACTTGTACTTGTGAAAATGTATGCATTCACTTAACAGAAGCATGATGGAAGCACCCAGAGGCTTGTCAGCCTCTTCCAAATGTATCTGTCTCAAACTCATGTACTTAACACATAGAAACTTTACCTTTTGAGTCATTGTTCTAAGTTTCTTCCCCCAAATCCCACCCTCAGATTATTATTTACCTTTGACTTTGTAGCTTACAGTAGTTCACTCATTTTGCAGTGGCTTTCAGAGATTCTTTGGGTGAAAGCTATTCTTACTGAATTAATTTCTTTTCTATGTAATGGCTAGCTATAGTCAAAATATCAACTGTATTAAATGCTTTTGTTCATTTTGTTCTCTGTTACTAGAAGATTAAGATTTAATTTGTCTCAACTCCTAATGAACCCATTATGCTTCTTCTTGGGAGAGCTGTATGTACATTCCTTTGAGGATTAATCCCTCTGTGCTACTAATTTATTCCGTCTTCTGATGGTTTGCTGTAACAGGACAGACTTGCGTACCTATTGCAAATGATGCCTTCTGCAAATATCGTATACTAGTAGGCCAAGGTTTGTAACAAGAAGCAATATAATTTATTATATCAAATTTGACATAGTAAGACAAAACCCCATAAAAGTTCTCAGGCATATAAACTCTTCTTCATGTCTGAAACGGAAATAAAATACTTCAATACGTCAAGTACAGAAATTGGTCTCAATTCAGTTTCATTATTGTTAATCACTGTGACTGTGTGAGAGAAAAGGATAGTTAACATCTATGAAGCCGAGAGAGCTGTTAGTAAGGGAAGAGGTGGTAAGGTCAGAAGCCTCTACTGGGTAGAGAGAGAGGGACAGATTATTATCCCCTGTGGAGTCACAAGGGTTAGCAGAAGAGATACTGTGAAAGAAATAATGCAATGTGAGATAAACTAGTCTTCTTACTGAGCTCTTGACTTTATGAATCAGAACAGAATAATAAACTTTATATCCAGGCTCACCTTCTGAAGGTGTAGAGATACTACAGTGTTGAGATACTACAAGTGACCATAACTGTTTTGAAATGGAGGAATGTTGATGAAAAGAGACTCTTGATTTTTAATGAAGAGTCCTTTAAAAGTACACATTCTGACCTCTCTTGTCTAGTGTGTATAAATTTCTTCTTATGTAAAGGCATACTCATGTGCATGCTACACTTGTAACAAAGACCCCTACTGCCTGATTCATATCTCAAAAGAAGTTAACAGAAGTCACTCAAAATTAGGGCAGGGAAGACACAGCTTGCAGATGGAGGGATTTTGTGTGGCTTGGTTATAGAATCTGGCAAATGATAGTAGTTTTCATGTTTGCCATCATGGATCTATCCAGAAATATCAAGTCTGGAAAGTCAAGAAGCCTTACTCATCCAGAATGATTACTGAGAGCCTCTGCCTGTCCAAACAGGTCAACATTTCCAGAGAGACCTAAAACTAAAAGAAATCAGAATTGAAAGTTTTGTTTGAATTCTATTTCATGTGAGCATTGCTGCACAGATGCTTTCAAAATGCTAAGAAACATTTCATATGCAGTGTTTTTATGAAGCTTAAAAAATTAGCAGCTCAATGAACAACCATCTGTATCTCACCACAATGTCAATTTATTTTCTGTGCTATTATTGCAGGTGATTATGTAGTCATGACTATATACTTCGACTTAAGTAGAAGAATGGGATACTTTACTATTCAAACATACATTCCCTGTATATTAACAGTTGTTCTTTCCTGGGTGTCCTTTTGGATTAAAAAAGATGCCACACCAGCAAGAACAGCATTAGGTAAGTTGTTAATAATTCCCGTTTCTGTTCTCTTTGTGTAGTTTCTACACTATAATTTGAAAATGTCAGCTTCCTTCCAAAGAGACCACTAGCTATATGCTTTGGATTATTGTACCACATCTTGCGGACCCAGATCTACTTATCACTGAAGCCTCTGGTTTTCTGCGTTTAACAGGGTAATTAAAAATAAACTACCCTGACCCTTTGGAATGACATGGCCACTTATTTTGCATAATACTCCAGAATTAATGTCTGTCTCCTTGTTCTCAGTATGATATTTCAGCGACATTTTTGAAGAATAAATTAATTGCACTGCTGGCTTCCTTGCCTTCTGAAACTTTCTCCCACAGGGCATTACATCTTATATATACACCAAACTGTGGGATATAATAATATTAACTTATGCAAAGTGTTTTAGCTTGCGTGCTTGAAGTAAAGCTCCACACTAGGTGTATAGATATTTTTCATAGATTGTGGAGATTTATGCTGGTATAGGCTTTACAGCAGCCCATTTACATCAGGACCAGCATGTGCATTTTGGCATTGAGCTTTAGGATACACTTTGAAATGCTGATCATTTATTCTTATGTCTATAGGCAAACCCACAGGTTTTGCCAGCATCAAGGGCATAGGGCTATATAATAGCCAATTATAGGTGTACATCAGAACTGCAGAAAACCCAACATTTTAGTCTAGACTGTGGTTGCCAGGGCTGCCGATACTGATTCAGAAATCTACCAGTCTAGGAAAAAAGGGGAGACTGTCAATGTTTACATGTCTGTTTTCAAGCATGTAGGTTACCATTCACAGCTATGCATTGCTTCCTCCTGCTGCAGTTTGTTACCATCTCCAGTTAACCACCTGGACTCTCTAAATTATTTCAGTTTGAAAGAGCAAATTATCAAAAAGTGACCTGCCCTACTTCTTGGACTGAAATCAGATGGGAAGCATTTGTAGTAGCCACTGAGTCCCCAAGTTTGAGAGGGTGATACTGCTGCAAGGAAAGACTGGAGGAAAAAGGCTGTGAACAGGCTGCACCTCCTTGGAGGACATGTGAAGGCAGCCTGCTGTGTACTGACAAGCCTTTGTTCAACCACAGTACGGGAGAGGCTGTCTATACAAACCACCTCTGTCTCCCACTCCCCTAAACCGTTGATCAAGGGTACTCAGTAGTCCTTATCCTTTTTCATTCAAGTAACTAAGCGTTTACCAGAAATGGTGGTTACTTATCTGTCAATCCATTTCTGTTAGCTCTCTTTTCAAACATCATGTAGAGGTGCTCTACTTGATCTCAGGAGGAAGACACCTTGTTTGACAATGCAGCCTTTATACAGTTATTCAGAATGACTTGTCCTGTTTCAGTCTGTCTTTCTCCTGCACTAATAAATCTGAGCAATTGCCAGTTCTGAGGGTGCTGGCATTTCTAGCATAAAGGCCCTGAAGGGGAAAATAAAAATGAAGTACTAAAGAATTTTTGAAGCCCATTCACTCTGAATGAGATTTTAGCTGCTAAGTCTCTTGAACTTGTCCAGAAGTCTGATCCCACATTCTAAATACTTCACTCTCAGAAAAAATCTACAGTCATCTAATCAGGGTGCACAAGGCCCGGGTGGCAAATGTTTTTCCTCCCAAAGCTTCTATTGCTTCAATAGGTTAGTAACTTTCAGCTGCATGATAGAAGAAATACATCACCAGAAATATCCTCTAAGTGTGACTCCCTCACTAACCATAGCTTTATTTAAGCAATGGTTCTTAGTGAATGGCGAGGGGCATCCTTTCAAACCAAGAGCAGCTCAGTGACATGGAACTATGCAACAGGATCAGTAGAAAGAAAAGTCCCAGAGAACCTTTAATAAGACAACTGCAAGCAGCCAGCACTGGTTCACACTTTACAGATAATTCTGTATTAAATCCCATTTTGCGTGAGGTCAACGCAAGATCATAACCTGAGGGATTTGCTCCAGGAGTTTGCAAAATTAACAAATGTAACCCTTCTGACAATTGCAAGTCACGTGGAGTCCTGTGGCTCCAGTTTTCTGAGGTTATCTTCCAGGAAAGGAATATTCAGTTCTCAGTCCCTTCATGTGAGTGCCAAAGTGCCTTTACACTACAGATCCAGCAACATGACAGACCCTAAGACTTAGAGATATTCTTTGGCCCGCTCCAACTCCAGGACAGTGTGAAGATGATACCAAGCTGAAGACAGAGCAACTGTATGACTGCCTGTTCCTGGCTGTGTAGACTTTCTTCTGATGGCCAGAAAAGTGAGCAATAGACCTTTAGTGTACTTCTCTGCTGACCTGCTTTCTTAAATTGGATAACTCAGTGGAAAGGTTGACCATGCTCCAACTTTTTTAACTAGGAGTCCAAAGCACCATGTACATGCAGAGAGTCACACCGCATTCATTTGGGTTATCCTTCATAATGCTTAAGAGAAAAGGGGGAAAAGGCATATAACAGTCTGCATCCCTAATTTTCTGGAAGCAGTGTTCATATCCTGTCCCTGAGGGAAGTTCCCCACACCACACGGCTCCATTTCCAATTAATTAGACATGGAAGTAGGTTAGATCACTAGTTACTACAATGTGAGTCTCCCTGCCTCACCCCCTCAGCCAGCAGGAACTTCAGACAAAAAATGTGTTCATATACTGAGGTCATGAATTTGAAGTAAGAACATAAAAATGAGAGGTTCCAAGGCTATATGCAATGGCTATCATGACTAACTCCTAAAGCTCTGGTGAAGAATTAAATTACTGAGTTAAAATATAACTTTTTTATAAATAAAGTCAAATGACAACAGAATAATATATGCATGAGTCACCACTTTTTGTGCAGAGTCCTATTGCTCCCAAATTGACGATGGCCTGTTGACTCTTGGGATGCAGTAAGCAGATGTTCCCAGTTTACTGTAGGCCTACTTGTGTAATGCAACTTATCAATCTGTCTGAGTAACAGCACACATCCACATTTGGGTAGTGGCACATAGTGAAATTGTGAGTAATACAGCCAAAGGCAAACCGCTGAAATTGTCCTGCTAATTAGTTGAAATGAATCGTAGACTCAGTGCACCACACCTGCCCTGACAATAGCTGCATTAATGTAAAGGGCTAGCATCAGGGAAATATTTCACTCTGAAATTAATGAGTAATTTCCTAAGCTATCTGCGACTACTCAAGTTACCTGAAGGATGGGTTTTACCTCTTTCTGAATAACGTGAAGTAATAAGCTATTTCTGTTCTGGAAAAAGTAAGTGCAGTTGGGGTATTTGACAGTGAGGGAAAAATGAGACCATTAGTATTGTTTCAGCAGAACTGTATAGAGGCATCTAAGTGCTCTTTGAAAATTTGGCATCATAGTCCCTTTTTCACCTGCTCTTTGAGGGGTTGAGGCCCAGAGTGGCAACGTGACACACTCCAGGCCACCTGAGGAGTCAGTGGGAAACTGAAAATAGAATTTGAGTGTTGAATGAGAACTGTGTTTTGTGATCCCGGGTTATTCTGCCCTCCACTCAGAGAGAAAGAAAAAGTGTCTCTCCACTGTTTCTGTTTGTCTCTAGTGATCAAAATGATCTTTCTTCAATATTCACAGTCTAGAGCAGCCAGCAAGTGTCTGAAGAAAAGTTATGATCTGGAAAAGAATAGGTTGTTTCCCTTGAGGATGAATGAGATTAAGTTAAAATGAAGCTTTAATCCCAGTTTCCGCCTGCTTTTTCAAAATAGGTGTAATATGTAACAGGACTAGGCAGTTACTATGGAGTAACTTGACACTGCAGTGGTATCAAGGCCAGCAATATGTTGATGGAAAAGAAGATACAGATGATGTTTCATAAAAAATGAACATTTTGCTCTCCTTGCTCATTTCATCTTAAGCTCATTTAGTAGAAAAACAAGCAAATGATCAAAACAGGTGCCAGACCAAAAGGTGGAGAATTTAAGTTTATAAACAAGTGACAGTATGGGTGAAAGCAGTACACTTTTCCCCCAGTGTCCCATCAACATACCCTTAGGAAAATAAGAAAAAATGAGCCTTGCTGATCAAAGAGTTTCTAACGCTGAAGCTCCTGCTACCTCACTTTGCATACTGTTGTCCAGTAAGGAGCTTTCAAACAGTAATAGTTTTAAATAACTGTTTAGACCAATGATCTAAAGGTTAAAGTGTTCTCATGCATTATGTATCTCTTCATCATTTGATCTCCCAGACAATCCTTTTATCAAACAACATCTTTGGTATGGAATTTGCTCAGAGAATATAAATGTCACAAAATAGTATTTATACACAAACTTGTAAGCTCCAACTTGCACTTTTCTACCTGAAAATTTTGAAGCCAGGTTACTTCAAAGCTGTCCTTGGCTGATACTAAATTTTGCTGAACCAGACAGTTTGGGAGCACTGTGAATTTCAACAGCAGATGCAAAGTTCACTTTACCATAAGCGCCTCCCCAAAGTGAAAGACTTAACGGTTTCATCTGGCAAGGTTTATGGCATTTGAAATCACTCAACAAATTGAATTTTCTTAGCATGAGAGACTAAAAGAGCTAAGGGTATGGAATCTAGATATTCTCTTTGGAAGTAATGGGTGATGCATTTTATTCATATATGCATATCTGTATATATGCATATATATATTTTATTCATATATGCATATCTGTATATTCCAACTTGTAAATGTATAGGAATATAGGTGCCCAGCGACAGGACAAGGGGCAACGGGCACAAACTGAAGCACAGGAAGTTCCGTCTGAACATGCGGAAGAACTTCTTCACTCTGAGGGCGACAGAGCCCTGGAACAAGCTGCCCCGGGAGGTTGTGGCATCTCCTTCTCTGGAGATATTCAAAACCCACCTGGACAAGGTCCTGTGCAGCGTGCTGTAGGTGACCCTGCTTTGGCAGAGGGGTTGGGCTAGATGACCCACAGAGGTCCCTTCCAACCCTGAATGTTCTGTGATGCTGTGATTCTGTGACTAAAAAACTGTATCATCTGGCACACCCTCTTTCTCTTTGCTTTCTGCATATATCCCCATAAGAGTCATTTTAATATTTTAAAATTTGTGCCTATGAGTCAAATGTAAAAATGATACACTGGGTAGAATTTTTATTATTTCAAAAATTCCTTGTAGTTTGTGGTGTGAGCTGGGATCCCAGTTCAAGCCTCAGCTTAAATGCAGAATGATGCTTTTCTGCTGGATTTCATTCTATAAATATATTATGCATAAATAATACAAGTACAAACATATTTGTTTTATCTTTGGATGATTCCATCTATGTGCTTAGCAATCTTGTATCATGCCCTTGCCATGGTTTGAAATGTGACGTATAATCCAGAAGCTACGATGGCATATGATAATGCTGAACTTTCCTTTCCCCAAGGTTTTACATTCTGGTAGCAAAACGTGATTTGTTGTCAAAGAGACTGAGGATAGACACCATTAATATCTTAAAACTAAAATACATCTTACACCTTTGCTGTGTCTGTAAATTTAGTGGAACCTAATTTGTTTCAATCAGCTAAAATTAGTCCAGGGCCACCCAAAATTCCCAGATTCTGTATCGGTGAACATGATTTACTGGGCTGGTTTTTCTTAATTCTCACCTATAGCTTCTAGGTTTTCACAGTCTCAAACATGATTCAGGCAGGCATTTCACATTCAGGCTTAAGGCATGGATACAGGACTCAGGCTGAATTGTGGACTTCTATAATTAAGTACAGAGGCTAATGGTAATTTTTCTTTCACTTCTCTGCCTTCCTGTTCGTTGTCACTTTGGCAGCTGGATGTCATTATAGATACTGGCACAATACTTCTTGTCACAAGTAATGCAAAGTTCTACATCCATTTCAGTAAAAATAGAGGGAAAAAAAGTACATTGTCAATACAGCAATCAGAAGAAATTGCAGACCTTTGCAAAAAATGGGTTTTAGCATTGCAAGCTCTTTTCTCCTTTTATTTCCTTTTTGCCTTTTAATAAAAAAAAAAAAAGTGTCCTGTAATCTGAGTTCCCATCACAGGATGAATGGGAAAAAAAACTTGCCCTTGATTCCAGGTAAAAAGGACACCATATATCATATTGGAAGAAGACTACAGGTTTTGAGGAGTTTTTTAAAGGTAGTGAAATACCTGAGAGCTAGTGCATGTACATGACTCTGAAAAAGACAGGTTTGTGTTAGAAATCCAAATATGAGTTAGAAGGTATTAAAGAACTTCATTTCATATTGTAGGGTACATGACAGTCTGGAAGCAATTCTTCTGCAGTTAGTGACTCCCAAGGCCTGAGTCATGGTCATATAGAAAGACTAATTAACCTGTAGTTAGTAAGGGCCAAATCATGGCTAATGAGTCAACACCTTTTGCAGTTGGACATCTTTGCAATTGACTACCGTAATGAATGGCTAAGCATAGGGTTTGTCTCTGGAGCTTTTCCAAAGCATCAGCTGGCTACAGAAGTGTTGTTGAAGGGTTTGGAGAGGTTACTGGACCATGCCAGCCACGTGTGCTTATTTCAGGATGTGGCGCAGTTGACAGGAAACACCAATATTTTCCCAGTAGCTTTTAGATGTCCAAGGTACACACAAAATTCACTTTTCCCACTTCTTACCAGCATTGCTTTCATCTTCATTAGTGGGCTGTGGTGTTTCAGCAACTTTTTTTTTCTTTTCTTTTTTTTTTGTTTCTGTGTAGTGGATATTTAAGGAATACAATTAGTTATTATTTATTGTAGAAGAAGGTTGAGGCGTAGGCAATGATCTGCCTTCTGGCTCTTTGAGGGACTTCCTGATGGTTTGAATGGGGAGGGTTATTCTTGTGAATCACTGTAGTTTCTATTAAACACTACAAATCAGAGGTGGGCATTCCTTCATAAACAGAAAGTAGTCAAAAGTAATCCATAGATACTTCTTTCTCTCCAGCTGCCTTTTGTGGGAAGTAATTTTATTATAAGGCATAATTTCAGTCATCCCCTGCCATTTCAAACATTGTGTACCATTGCAAAATATCACTTTAACTATAAAAAGAAAGATTACCTTATGGTTATGTTGTTTTTAGAGCAGGTTCTCTCTTGAGGCTTATTTCAGCGAGAGCTTTATTTTTCTTCTCAAGCCATTAAGGAGTTTTATTTTTTCTTTCTGAAGGCTTGCAGTTCACAACAAATGATTAAAAGCATCAGTCCAAAGTGAGAATGAAAAGAGTTCTGTTCCTCAGGAATGAAGAGAAATTACATGAATTACCAGCAGCCAAATAACTGACACCCCATAGATTTCTTTCTAGGACCAGTTTTATTGTTTCAGGATATTCCACACTAAGCAATTGCCATTATATTCATTATTACTAAATCAATCTAAGATGTGATGCTTTGTATGAATTAAAAAGGCTATTTCCATTAAGGTTACATCTGAAGTTTATACGAGAGTCTGTTTTCCCTTACTCTGAGGGAAAATAGCAGTGGAGGACTCCCAAGGATGCAGCAGTGTGAAAACATATTTTCATAATCTATGATCAGAATTTGCAGCAAAATTTCTTTTCTTTTCCTCCTCCCCCTGATTTATTTTTGAGCACAAGGTTTTTCATAGAGCAGTACTGCTGTAAAAAAGACCATGTTTCCTTCTTGTTTTTCTAGGTTTCTTAACTTTTATTTTTCTGGATTTAGTATCCTTTCTGCTTTATACTTTGCTTCAAAAATTTCTTCATTCTCTCCTTCTCCCTCTCCCCCATCTCCAGCCTAAGTGGGACAAGAAAAATGAAGAGATGAGGAAAAACATATTGAGAGACATAGCAATGTCACTTCTGCAAAGATGACTGTAAACAGCTGAGGAAATCTTTGTTTACAAAATACCACTGGCTCTACTGATGTTATTTTTCGTTCTTTTTTTTACTACTAAATGAAATTAATGAATTATTTGGGTACACTTTGGATTTCTGTTTTGTATGTTTGTTTCCAAAGATTCTTCTGCGACAGGGAGAAATTATGTTGCATACAATTAAATCAAGTTTCTCTCTGCAGGTATCACCACAGTATTGACCATGACAACTTTGAGTACCATTGCGAGAAAATCATTACCCCGTGTCTCCTATGTCACCGCTATGGATTTGTTTGTGACTGTATGCTTTCTATTTGTCTTTGCTGCTCTGATGGAGTATGCAACCCTCAACTACTATTCAAGTTGTAGGAAACCAAACTGTACTAAGAAGAAGAAGTCGGTAAGATGGGAGCATTTAATTTTGTTTCTAGCACATGTCTGCCTGAGAAAGCATAGAATCATTCAGTGAGAGCCTGGAATCCCATGACACTCCGCTCCTCTGAGCTCTTCCCAGTTTGTGGTGGGATCTGCCCTGAAGGCTGATGGAAAATAGTTACCCACAGTAACAGTAAAAACAGTTATGGTCCTGTTCTGTTCCTAACAGAAGCAGCCCGCTGACCATGAAGCAGCAATCCTGCCTGCACATCTTTCATCCTCCAGTTACTGTGCTGGTAGTCATAAAGGACTCCCACAGAAACAGATTGCATAGCTTGTTTAACAAATACATGCACATCAATGTATGTTCAAATGCATCTGCTGTTTCATGGTTTAACAGGGCTAGAAATATTTATGAACTTTACAAACGAGATTTCAATGTCTCTGCTGGGAACTAGCACTTGTTTTTAGCTCTGTGCACAAAAGGGGTTTTTTTCCTAAGTAGAAAAACAGAGAAGGTCACTTACAAAGGTTTTATACATGGCTGCATTTTTGGCCAAAAAGACTCTTCCGGAAGTAACACCCAGACACACACAAAAGGTATTAGTCTAGAATCAATTAAAACAGTCATGCAGGAAGAATTGTCTGGTGTACTTCATAACTGACCACAAGAATGAGAGGGGGCAGTATAATGGAGAAAAAAATCTCAGTGTAAACATAGGGAAGGGGAAGGTGGTTGTCCGCTCAAGATCTGTGGAAAATCTTTTGTGTTTGAGATCGGTAGTGGCGGATGTTGGATGCCATGCTGTGCAATGGAGGGAATAAGGACATTTGAAATCAGAAATATAAAACTAAGTAGGAAAAATATGAAGGCGGAAACTGAAGAGAGAGAAGACTAAATTCAGCGAATAACAGGCCACGAGGTAAAAAGGGATTGAATTAAGAGCTACAGAAAATGACTGAATGAAGAAATAATGAAGGAAAAGCTGCAACAAGTATGGAATTAGAGAAAGCCTAGAAAGCTATAGACTTAGTCATTGAAAAATCCATTAAACCTCTAACAGCTTCTTGTAAAAATGCATTGCACACAAAAGGCAGAAGAGTGTTACCAAAAGAAATGTATGAAACACTCAAAATGAACTTGCTAATGATCAAACAAAAATTGCCATCCTATAGAAATACTGAATCAAAAAGTTATGAGTATCTTTGTGAGCAGGATGTATTTCCAGATGTGAATGAAGATGAGGGAAAGCATGCAACATTGATGAGATTTAATTTAACACAAGAACAAATGCTCACTTAGCTATTGTTTGCTAAATAAATAAATATAATGGGTTTAATAAAGATTTAAAGTGGATGGAAACTAAGTGTGCATTCTGCTGAGGTTTCATGCAGTACTAAAGTTTACAGAATATTATGCTGAATATATGGAACACTCAGCGTGAAGTGTTTATATGGACAAATGCATTTAAAGGTTTGGTTTGAAAAAGGCTGTTGAATATGAGATGTCTATGAAGCTATGTTTTCTTCTGAATATTCTTTTGTTGTCTTTATTTAAGCTACCTGATGTCAGTTTTGGTCATATGATGGTAAGTAAACTATTCTATTCTGTGAGAGCAATGAAGGCATGAATGTATGGTTGACATTTACTTGCAATAGTTCCCAAGAAAGCTGTAACACTATGTTATGCTTTACCCTGACTTCACTATAAATATTGTTTTGCTCTTTTGTTAAAAGATCAGTTTGGTTTTGGCTGTTGCAGAGGAATATAGCTGCCTTTTTCTGTAAGGACTTATCAAATTATTTGGGAGGGAGAAGGGTCAAGTGTAGAATATTGTGTGCTATTTTTACCTCACAAATTTTGTGTCTGCTTTATAATATTGCAGTTTCTCATTACATTTTATAAAAAAGTAATAAGCACAATTTATGTCATAAACATATGAAATTTTAACTGAGTTTCATAGAAAATATTTCATTCATGCATATCTGTAAAATTTTTAGCAAGCTTTAAGGTGGATTTTCAAATAACTTAGGCACACAAGTTTAACAGAGTGAGTTGTACTATATCTACAAATGAAACAAAATCTGTTCCCCAAACGCTTAGAGAACTATTTATGTATGTACAGCGGTAACAAAGTTGAGACTGAGCACCAAATTGTGTCTCTAAGTTGTATGAAATCTGAAACTGGAATACAATCTATAATATATGTAAATGTAAAGAATGCAGAGGGCCAGTTATTCAGCTGGTTAGATGGCCTGCTTCCCAGCTATCAGATCCAAATAAGAACAGGGACAGAACTAAGCCACTGCTTTTTCATTTCTTGGTTTTGAAATGCTGAAGTTAATCATTTACAACTGTTAGTTCCATGTTACTTGCTTACATTTTACAAATAACGTTATACGCTTCTATTTTTTTTAACATGCGTTTTCTGAAGTGTTTAAAGAGCTCATGTAGCATCAAAAGTCTGCTTATTGACAATGAGTGGTTTACAGCAAGCATTGCATTTATACGCTTGCTACTGCTGTCACCCCTTGGACAGACTTCTCTGAAAGATAAAGTTACTAAGGCACATTGAATGGACACAGCCCTTTCCCTTTTCCAATTAAAAAAAAATAAGAGAAAAAGATACACAATTAAAATGACAATAGAGTTTAACACTTCCTTTCCTTTCCCTTTCCACTATAAGATAGATATTGATCAGGACCTTGTTCTATATATAAGCAACATCCATGTTCAAATTGTAGTATAAACCAAATAAAATAAGCAGTGTCTCTGACTTACAAGATATCAGCTTGTCTTTTCCAGCCTTGTAGTGATGCCACCTAAAAGATGAAATTTATTAATATTAGTAAATCCATGTTCAGGCAATCCCACCCCTTGTTTTTCCTTCTAGAGAACACACACCTTGTCTGAAATAATTCTATTAAGCTTCTTTAACACTGCATCTGTACTGCCTTTTCCGAGGCACCTGGAAAGTACCTTGCCTCGCCAGCCCTCTCAGGCAGCACTGGGCTGCGCACGCACACCTCTCCTCCCAACCCCAGCTCAGCAGGACACACAGGACAGAGTGGGTACCATCCACCTGCACCTGGTATGTAGTTACATCAGGAGCCCTCCCAGCTGACAGAGATTAAAGCAACCACATAATCTCTCTGTATTATCAGGGCATTTATTTTATCTTTTGTCCTGAGCAAATAGTTGATACAACAAAAGAACAAAAAAAAAACCCACCCAGGCTATTGATAGATGAGAAAGTTTCCTTGGCAGAACCGGAGCTCTTATTTTTCTTCACTTACCAAAATCATCTGGAGAGATCTGAATTAGTCTTTCTTCTTTTTAACATAAATATTGTAGCCAGGCATAGAAAATTTCAGTCTCTGAGTAGGAATTTTTCATAAAGACCTGCAAGAAATGAACAATACATGACACAGTGGTGTAGCTGAACTCTGTGTATATTTTAGTTACAGCTTTTTTCTCTCCAGAGTGCTACAGTCAAAAAAATGATTCCTTGTACAATAATCTTAGACCTTCTCCATGTGGCTGCATATTGTAAAACTCTGATACCAGCCACCTGAAACTTTACAAATGAGAGAGAAGACCTTGACTGTGTAATTTCTGTCATCTAATCTCAGAGTTAAAGTCATTCACAACAAACAGATTTGCAACAATCTCCTTCTAAACCGGAATTTGTTTACAGTCCACAGCACAGTGCACCAGAGAGATTTTAGTCATCTACTTATGATGAGATGAATTGTGTCCTGGAAGTAATTGGCTGGATACCATAGGGCAGTGGTTCAGATGTAGTTATCTATGTTGGAGATGCCAACATCTAAGCAGAGGGATGCCACATCAAGTTCTTAGCTCAGAGACCGGCATTTTTAATGAGATAAGTAGTGCTATTATGTGTCAAACCAAAGGATGTGTAGAAAGAAAACAAAGTCAACAGATAAAGAAAATTTCTCCCTGAGTTATATCACGTAAGGAGTGAAAGTCTTCAGATACACCCCAACACCTTCAACAGGAAATGTTGTGTATTTTGTATAGCAAGTGTGGAAGCAGGGGCCCAGAGCACTCTCTAGAATGCAAGCAGGCATGATGCAGAGGCACAGCTAGCTTGTTAGTGCATACCCAGCACGGTTCTGCGGCAAAGGCAATGCTCAGCACAACCTCAGGGAGAAGAAGCGCCCCTGAGGTGGAGGAAACCATGCTGACAGGGCTGGGGTCTGCTCTATCAGAGCGGTGCAGACAGGCAGTGAAGCTGATGGGACCTTTCCTAGTGATGTCAGAGGAGGAGGTGACATTTGTGAGGACGGAACGGGTGACTTGATGAGAGAGGAGAGTACCGTGAGAAAGCACCTTTCATGAAAAGGAGATGGTGTGACAGAAAACCTGACAGAGTGTGAACAGGGAGTACATTGAAGAAGGAGACGTCTGTAGGTGCGAGTGTTACTGTGAGGATGCCCTACTTCTGAGCACAGTTAGTGTGATAAGCACTAAGGGGACATGGCTAGGGACGGCATTTCGAAATCCTGTACTGAAATGTTCACTGTTGCTGATCATATCTGAGTTTATAAATCATGGTAAAGTGAAGAGTCAGTGAATGCAGCCATACTAAGTGGAACTTGTGCTGTAATTAAATAGGGAGGGGGACATCTTCCTTTTTTTTCAGAATCCATTCTTAAAAGTACTAGCTGCAAGTGTTTAAAGCAACTTGAAGATAGTATTCTGACAGGCAAGTGAACTCCTAAGTGTGAAAAAATGATTACTAGGAAATATATGCTTGAGTTACCCAAGTAGAAAATACACCCAGAGTTATTTAACTTGCCACTTCACAATCTCTGCATATCCATCAGAAAAGGCATCTTTTGAGGGAAAGAAAGATGATCCTGAAATCTAGAATTCCTTAGTATTGACCTCTTATTCCCAGCTCCTGTGATTTTTTCCCATGATTATTGTTTCGTGTTCTGCTTCGTCCATGGAAGCTTATCAGACTTTTGGTTTCTTTTTCTCTCCTCAGAATTATTCCGTACTTGATATGAGACCACCAACTACAGTCATCACACTGAACAATGCCATGTATTGGCAAGAATTTGAAGATGCGTGCGTCTATGAATGTCTGGATGGAAAAGACTGCCAGAGCTTTTTCTGTTGTTACGAAGAATGTAAATCAGGCTCATGGAGGAGAGGACGGATTCACATAGACATCTTAGAACTGGACTCTTACTCTAGGGTCTTTTTTCCTACATCTTTCCTGCTGTTTAACCTGGTCTACTGGGTTGGATACCTCTATCTCTAAATGTTGCCTGTAGTGGTGAAGACTGCTGTGTTTTCACACTGCGGAGGGATGGTGAAAGTGCAGAAAAAGTGAAGGACATGGTCTGTTTCATCTCAAATTATAAAGGCCACATTAACCTTCACCATCACAAAGCCTGATGAAGAATTTTAATATGTAATTGCCTGAAAAAGAAAAATGTGGAAAAATTCTCTCCTTACTGCTATTCATTTTAAGGAAAAGATTCTTACAAAATTCAGCTGAATTTGTAGTGTAAGCGATGTTTATGAATAATTATTGTATATTAGAATCTTTACTATTCTCCCTTGGCATAGAAGCTATACACAATTCAGGCAGAGGTTAAATACGTGATTTTCATTCTTCATTCCCATACTTCCTTCAAAATGTTGCCATTTCTGTGAGGCTCAGAGCAAAATACACTGGCACTGGCAAATAAGCCAAAGCCTACAAAACCACTCATTTCTATTTAAACTTGTTTCAGCTATGTCCATTGGTTTTGGGAAATATTTCACTGGTGATCTGCTTGCTATAGAGAAAAGACTAAAAGACAGTAAGAAATGTCTCTGATGTGATCAAAACATGGAAGTTACTTTCTGCAAAGATCTGGGATTCGTGGAATTAGACACTTGCCTGCACATATTGGTTTCAACTGAAGGTGAAAAGACAGAGTTGTAGGACAGCTAATATTTTGATATAATTTATGTCTATCTCTGAGGCAGCTGTAGACACAACTTCTACAGTTTTTCAAGCTTTTAACTGTCTTTTTTATGACTGGTTAAACACAGAATGTTTGCCAATTTCTAAAGTACTCTACTTGAAGCAGGACAAGATTCCTGCTTGTTTGTGTCATTGTAGCACATCATAGTTGATAGGCTGTGATTGAAAATCACTATATAATAGCACCAGGAATATATGACTTTCTTCAGATTGCAATTTACTAAAAAGTGCTCTCATGCATTCTTATTTTTTTCTCTCAAAGTTATTTACAAAATTGATAAACATATGTGCCAAAGGACACTTTTTGTTCCTTCCATAAAGTTAAATATTGCAGTCCTTACTCACGGCAGTTGCTCTCTGGGTCTGAGATGAAGACTGAACACAATGCACTCGAATAGTGCATTACAGGAACTCAATTGTCGCACTTGGATTAAACATGGAGTAGTTGTCACTTGTAGCAAAATGTTGTTTTGATTTTTTTCCAAAACTGCCAACTGCATTTTACCCTAAAAAGCTATTTCATATTTTTTAAGCTTTTGACCATAAAATTTTCAAACTATCCATTTTTTCAAAAACTAGCTTTACAGTGTTACAGTAGATTGTCTTCTACAGACTCTCTCAATAATTATTACTCAGCAAACAAAACAGACTAAAAACTAGAGATGGCTTTTTACTATCCTTTCCGATGAAAAATGGTTATAAATTATTAAATTTTAAACAAAGCAAACAAAACAGACTAAACACTAAATAACAATCGCTTTTCACTATCATTTGAATGAAAAATGATTACAAATTATCAAAGTTAAAACATACCTAAAACAAAAATTCTACTTTTTTTCTTTTCTAGAGGAACCTGATAATTTTTTTCCTGTCCCAAAAAGATGTGTGTCTCCTCCACACAGTATCTGATAAAAAATGAAGAGTAGATGTGATTGAAGAGCAGTTTCTTTTCTCCTCAGAAGGAAAATCCTGCAAACAAGCAAAAACTAATGCAATGATAATTCTCAAGGAACAGAAATGCTGTCACGTTCTTTGAAACATCACCACATGTCATTGCTGTTTCTCTGTGCTTCCAGTGAGTTTTTAGCTGAAAAAAATTACCAACACAAAAGTTAACTGTAGTTATTCAAAATACCTTCTTCTGTTTTTCACTTGTCTAAAATATCAGAGGCAGAGAGCTGGGTTTAGGTGGGGGAGGGGAATGACTTCTCCAAGGACTGACAGCACTCAAGTTAGAATCAGAGCAAAAAAATGTTTTTAGACAGGATCAAACCCTTCTTTTTAGCAAAACCTGCCCAATTTTATGTCTTCTAAACCAATAATGACTGTCTCATTTCAAAATACGTGTTGAAGTTTTTGATTACTCTTAGGAGCAAATTACTGTAAAACCTATCACTCTGTAAACTTCTGTGTCCTGCACTTGGAAGTATGGATTTTATTTAAGGAAAAGAGTTATATCTTCAGCAATGCAAAAAGGTGATTGAATTGAAGTTGAATATCCTGGTCTGCAATTATGAATTAATCTAACAGCCACCTTCAGCCATATTTTGCAAGAATACTAGAAGTATATCAAGCCTAAATAAAAGAATGGAAACAGTTATACTTTAGGGGCCTGATCCTGCAAACCCTCTGCAAAATCAATTCATTTTGGTGGGAGTATTGAGATGGATGAGGCACAAGAAGGTGCCTTCCACCATTAGATCCTGAACAGATAAAGTGAGGTTTATTTAGCAATTGCATACCTGAGTGAAAGTCTTGAGAGTAAGTGTGGAAGTGGAATGTCCCCATTTTAGATGATGACCACATACTTTTCTTACATTTCAGCTCATGGTTACCCATTTCTGTAAAAGTACATGATCCCATAAGATCCTTCCTTGGAAGACTGATTCTGCTAAGCCCATTCATATTGCCTCTGTTTTCTGAGTGCTTTCGTAAACAGAAGTTGGAAGCATATGATTCCGCTTTCTTCCACAGTCCTAGTGAAGAAAGAATCTGCAGCCACTGCTGACATCTGCTCTTACACTGACAGCAGAGGACATATTCTACTTGGTAATATATTCTACTCTGGGCTTATGTGCAAAAAATCGATTTGTATGCAAGGTGAGTGGCTGCAGTCTGGCAGGTTCCAGAATGCATTCCTCCACTTCTAGTCTCTCTGTTTCAGTGCTCTGTGCTTTGGCAGTCACTGAAAAACTGTAGACATCAGGGAAGATAAGCTTCCTAGCCTCATTCAAAATGCAATTCTTCTAGACACCTATATAATGTGCTCTGCGTGTATCTATGCGCCATATCCTTCTGTAGTAGTAAGAATATCCTCATTAACCTCCAGATATTCTTTTGCGTCTTTGGCAAATTGAAAAAAAAACCACTTCTGTGCACTGTGCCATGAGAAATAAGAAGCATCTTTTAGCATTTTAGAACATTTTCTTATCAGATAATTTCATATACAAACTTTGCATTTATACTTCTTTTCACCTTTCCAAGGAAGGCAAGGGAATGGAGGAAAGCAAAAAAAAATGACTAGTGAAATGAATGCATTTGGGTATGTATGTAAAACCACAAAATCGAATATCTTCAAATTACATTCCTTCCTTTTTGAAGTTACAGAAAAAATTGTGAGGGTTTGCTTAGATAACCAACTTTTCCCAGGAGGATCTAAAGTCAAACCTCTTATTCTCCCCTTTCAATTAAAAGTTGATGGACAGTGTTTTCCTGCATTGACGGCAGCACTTTGAAGGCAATTATGAATGTATAAAAATACTGTTCTGCTTAATTCAGTCTTCTGAGTTCTTCTGGCCCTGATGCCTAACACAATGATGGCTCCTTCTTCTACAGCCATTCTTCCAACAATAAGAGTATAAAAACTTGCAGCCAGCTTATGCTGTCTCCATGTCCAGCAGTCATGTGGAACTGAAGTATGCCAGACAATTTTAACATAACTTTCTAATCAAGAAGTACAGCTGTAGAGTAAAACACCTCAGGCACTTTGATAACCTTTCTTCTCTTTTAGATGCTCTTTTTCTCCTTCATCAACTCTCAACTGTGTATTGGTATATTGTAAATATCAATAAAAATGATAAAAATTGCAGCAGGAAGAATCAAAAAAGCCAGAGAGACAGTGATGACTAGTGAAGATAAAAGAGATGGAAGAAATGATTTTTTATTGCTGTGCAGTTCTTATCTGTCCCACTGCTCTTACTCAGTTTTTCCCACCACCTACCCACAGCTAATTCCAAATAATCCACCCGGCAGTCTGCACATTCATCACCGGGAACCGCAGTGACACATGAGCCTTTAGCTGATAGGAAGTGATATTTCTGGAACTGGAGATAACTCAGATAGCCATCTATCTCAAACAGTTTTGCAGCCCTAATGTATGTCAGAGTCTAGCACCTCGTATTGCTGCATGAATTTATCCCAACTCATCTTACTTGGTCATCTCATGAAGGGAAGGATGTCTACCTCCTTTTTACACCAAATTTCACCATACATCTAGAAAAATGACTCTGCCTTGCCAATGCTCCAAGCAATCAGGTGCAAGACAACTCTGGAAAGACCGTAGTTGCTATACTGCTGACTTTGTGGGAAGAGAGACTGCCAATATTTTGACAGATTACATTAGCCTCACAATCTGGAGGGCTGGTGTTGCCTTCTAAACTGTAAAACAAAGTACCCACTGCAACTTGTAAACACTGTCCGTAACAGACTGTACTTTTCCCATTGGCTGCTCTTTCTCAGCTTCCATAAAACACTAAGAAAAGGCAAGCCATATCCCGTAATCTTAGCTACCTACACAATTAGATGACTTTTTCCAAGGTATATTCTTCTTCTTTTTTACAGTGAAATCTCTGTGCCTCTTACATTAGTGCCTTTAGAATTTCTTGATATAGAAGGACATATCATTCCTGGCCTGAGAGTTAGAAAGAGAGACAACGACCTTCCTGAGCACCACAGTGTGTGACCAATATTCTAGATGTCTTCAACCTACACGCAGAGCATCTGTCTGATTTTTCATTATTTTCTAAGCAGTCTGTAGGTTTCTTAATTCCCAAGTAGCAAGAAAACTGCAGTGGGATTTCAGCAGTTTAGCAGAATCCTTCCTTCTTCACTCAGCAACCTCATTCCACCAAGAGATGCAGACCATAAACTCAAGGCTGATGTTTACCTCAATCAGGTCACTTCCCAGAAGACAGTTTAAAATAGGCAAAAAGTGAACTATGCATTGGGAATGCATTTCCACATCTGAAAGGTGAGGTTCTTTCTCCTTCAGAGCTTTTTTTTTTCTG